GTAGCACGCTTCCGTACCGCTCACTCCTCCCGCACAAGGCAAGGACTGTCTCGGGAGGTGAGTGTCAAGCTTATACTCAAAATGCGCGTTCCACATCAGCAGAGGATGCTCACCTCCTCCGCAGTGGCTTAAAATTGTCTGATAACAGCGGCAGCCGTCTCTCCAGCAACCAAACGATGGGGATTCCTCAATGCACGACGTGCTCTTTCTGCCACACCTCACCCCGCGCCCCTTCGTTTACGATCTCTACTCCAGTCATATATGTAGTTGACCACGGCTGTATAGCCGTTGGGTCTCCATAGCTTGTGCACTCGCCGAACCGCCAAATTTTAGGGAACCGGAACACTTGTTCAGTTCTTCCTTCGAATCCTGTTCATTATATTGACGGTCCTGTTCGGTGGGGTTGATGGGGAATGTCTAGGAGAGATGAGGCGCGGTTCTATCCCGTTTTTTTCTATTGTTTCTCTTCCAACAAGCGACATTACTGTATCATGTTATCAGTCCTTTTCAACCAACTGTTCAATCATCAATTGTTTGCATCTGATGAAGAACGGAATGACGGCGAGCCAAACCGGGTCCCCTCGTCCGCAACGAACAAAACAGTGAACACGGGGTTTTATTTTACGGTCTGTCATGACCTGACTCTGTTTTTTGGGCTCACTGGGACGATTTCGAACGAACTGCTCATGTGAGCTTAGCTGGATTCGAATTCTACTCATTTTGTCGATTCCAGGATATCTTCTTGATATAATTACGAGAACGCCAGTTAGTTAAGCTAGGTGGCTGAGGCCTAATTGGAACAGACAGTTCAATAGAAATTTGTGGGGAAGAGGGATGAACTTGAGTTTGACAGCATTCTGGCAGAAAGCAGAGCACATCCTTGCGTATGGAAATGCCATCGGGGTATATACTGGTCGATAGGTCAGTGAGCACCAACAAACATTTTTCACTTTAAGCCACGCATACAAATACCGCCCCTAATTTTTGCCAAATCGACGGTTTGCGACGGATTAATCCGTCGCAAACCGTCGCTTTGCTATAACTTCCGTCAAAGTAGTCGAAATGACATGAAATTTGGACCAGTCGATAGCTCTGCACAAGGCAAATCCAACGATGTATGAAACTTTCAATTTCCTTGAATTTTTTGACGCCTTTCCCGACGAAATTGAGATTCGAGTCTCCAGTGTCCTAAGGTGTTACCTGCGGACACGGCCGTGTCGTAAACCCTCCAGTCCAATTATGAAATTGAAACCAAGTGCTTCAAGGCCCTTAATACCAGCAAATTCGTAAAGAGCATGATTAGGTGGTCATTTTGATACTATTCATGATAAGGTTTCAGCAAAGTTCAGCTGAAAAATCATGTTCACTGACCACTCTTTCCTTGAATTCCGGTTTGTATCGGCCATATCATGACTTGAGGAAGAGAATCTGATTTATGGCCAACGATTTAAAAGAGCCAACACTGGCTCCATAAAATATGTGAATAGCTTGAAAGCACGATTTCAAAAACTGGAATTCACACAATTCGAAATTTATCAAGGTGAAAATGGTTCCGAAAAAACGGAATGTTGCAACCAGTGCTAACTTCTATTCGCATATGTAAGTTTCCATTCTGATACTCATTCAGTTTCTTTTTTCATTCCTTAGCTGGTTAATCATCTAGCCATTACTGGTTGACCCCTTGCTATCGATCACATTGCTCATTGCCTTTGCTGCAGCCAGGCCCATTCTGAGCCTAGCAGAATAGGCGAGAGCATGAGGCGAGCACTGACAATCTACGACCAACCATACACACAACCCAAGAGCTGGGTACTTGTCCACTATTGCTTTGAGCAATACACTGACTTTAGTGAAACTCATTTTGTGAATATGAGTTTTTCAATCTGACTTAATGAGATCGAAATTCAGTAGACACATCTAAGGAGCGACAACTGCCATAATCATCATGGCAATTGCTCTGAGGTGAGCGGAACTCTTCTTTGACTGGTGATTAGTTTCTTGCTACTTTGCTTGCCTGTCTAATGACAACCGAGCCGGTGATTGACCCCTAATTATTGATCATATTTAGTGCAGTGAGTTAGTTTATGATACCGAACGCTTCCACGATTATGTGGGACACACGTTCGTATATGAGTCCATGAGTACATTAGTTTTTGACAGATCCAAAACCGCCTTCAATTGAGTGCCCCCCTGTTCCCCTTCCACGGGAACTAACGTGATTTGGCCTGACCATTAAGAACCGGCCAAATCAGCGCAGAGGCGCACAACCAATCACAAACATAGTGGACTGATATGTGTTCAACGTTTGCAAACATTGTGCGTCGCTGAGGATCCGAACCCCTCCGGATCCCCGCTTGTAACGATCATGAAGCGTCAACACTACCGCTGCACCAATTGGCCGGTGCCCCATTTTTCTCTCTCTTTCCTTTTGTTCACGATTACGGCAATTCCCCGTGGGGTGTGTCATTAGGTCCGCTCTGGGGCACTACGTCCCACTCTGTTATTATGTTCGCCGCCACACCCTCTTTCATATCCTACAAGCCCCGCCCCTGGCTCCGCCTACTTAGGTCCGCTCTGGGGCACTACGTCCCACTCTGTTATTATGTTCGCCGCCACACCCTCTTTCATATCCTACAAGCCCCGCCCCTGGCTCCGCCTACTTCTCTTTAAAATTTCATTTCTTCCCCAAAATTTTTCTACGACATCTCCGGCCCACCCCGAGCATTCTGGCAGGGTGTGTCATTAGGTCCGCGCGGTAGGCCACCTAACGTGTCTCTTACTATTGGCATTACGTCTCTCTTGCTGTCCGCCGCCACGCCACTTCCTCCACCGCCCTGCGGCACTACGCAGGCGAGGTGTGTCATGTAGGTCCGCCTCTGGGGCACGTACGTCCACTCTGTAGTGGTATGTTCCGCCACCCTCTTTCATATCCTATAAGCCCCGCCCCTGGCTCCGCCTACTTCTCTTTAAAATTTCATTTCTTCCCCAAAATTTTTCTACGACATCTCCGGCCCACCCCGAGCATTCTGGCAGGGTGTGTCATTAGGCCTCCCGCGCGGCGCGCACTACACGTCTCTTCCCCTTCCCCCCCCTCCCCCCTCATGGGGCATTACGTCTCTCTGTGTCCGCCGCCACGCCCCCTTCCACCACGCCCTTCGGGGCACTACCAGGCTAGGTGTGTCATTAGGTCCGCTCTGGGGCACTACGTCCCACTCTGTTAGTATGTTCGCCGCCACTCCCTCTTTCACTCATCCCACACAGCCCCGCCCTGCTCGCCTTCTTTCTCTTTGAAATCTTCATTTCTTCCCCAAAATTTTCTCTCCACCCACACTCCGGCCCACCCCGAGCATTCTGGCAGGGTGTGTCATTAGGTCCGCGCGGGGCACTACGTCTCTTCATGGGGCATTACGTCTCTCTGTGTCCGCCGCCCGAGCGCGCCCCTCTCACCACGCCTTCGGGCACTACCAGGCTAAGTGTGTCATTAGGTCCGCTCTGGGGCACTACGTCCCACTCTGTTATTATGTTCGCCGCCACACCCTCTTTCATATCCTACAAGCCCCGCCCCTGGCTCCGCCTACTTCTCTTTAAAATTTCATTTCTTCCCCAAAATTTTTCTACGACATCTCCGGCCCACCCCGAGCATTCTGGCAGGGTGTGTCATTAGGTCCGCGCGGGGCACTACGTCTCTTCATGGGGCATTACGTCTTTATATGCAACCTCCCTATGTAAGTTCTGGCAACATATGCTCTTGCTAAATGTCCGAAACTCAACTTCTGCAGCTCCATAGTCACTACAGCCATTGATTTCCCCTGCTGCCTCAAGTCCACAATAGTGCTTATGTGGTTAAAGAGTTTCTCACTCATCTGCAATGTAGTTAGGCAGTATAATAAGAGCAGGAGGATAGGTGATAATTAAGTGTTGGCAAGGAGAAGGTAGGTCATAAGGAGGAGTGGATGCCAAGGAGAGGATAAGTGATAACGAGGTGTGAATGTTAAGGAGAAGATACGTGATAATGAGCTGTGGATGCCAAAGGAAGGATAGTATAGGATGCCGAGTAGGCGGAACCTCTTTGCGGCCCATCATTTACACTCGTGCCCTTCTTCAGAACCCCAGGCATCACTTGAGGATAAGTTGCAAGATGAGCGCAAAGCATGGATGTTCGACCTTCAATGACCTGATAATTATGCAATCAAAAGCGAGTGATATAAAAACTCCAATTTGTCACTCTCTGGAGGTTCATCAATCAGCAGAATGTCCTTCGCTCTAATTTTCTTCCCGCACACACGAACAACAAGCGCACCGGTTGTGCGTGCCGATTATCGTCGATCCACACGGCCCACGAAGACTGGCTGATACACCAAGCGTCCGCTGGGAAGGAGGTCCTACCAAAGGAATTGTGTGAAATGAAGACGTCCTCGGTCAGTACTGATGGTCAGCTGGTCGAGGACGTCTTCGATGTGTCCTGCGCTCCTGCGGACCAGGGGTCGGCATCCCAAGCAGACACTGCTGGAGAACGGTCAAGCCCGAGGGGAGGGAGGAAACGATTAGACTAATTCGAATGGAAGAAGACATCTCCCTCATAAAAAACATGCTAATCCAGATGTAAGAGAAGTTTCTTGTAGGCTGTTGCAGCTTCCTACTGATACCTGTTCATGCTTTTATTTAAGAAAGTAACTCTCACAGCGCAGTCGCAAAGGATGGATAGGCTAGAGCAAATTGGTAGGGAGTTACTGAGAAGGAACCCCCCGAAGCAGGTACAAGGTCAGCTGTGAATACTAACCTTTTCAGAAGTCCATAGATTATCTCATCTTAGTTCCTTAGTTTTCCGTAGCTTCAGCAAGTTTTGTACATTATGCAGAAATTCTTTAGGCAACATAGTTTATGGATACGCTAGCCAAAAAACTGTTGCCGAACTCAGGGAGCTGAAGGGGCAGAATAAAAATCAATTTGTTCTGGCTTTGGAGAAGATAATATATAAGGGCAGTCCCAAAGAAATGGAGCTGGTTGTAGACGAGCGCGTTGCGACAAAATAGAGGGTCGTGTTATCCAGCAGGTGAAGCGAATTCTAACTGTATTTCTTTAGTACAATCGTTGCTTTACGCTAGATCAGTTGGATGACTGCGATCCAGTTCATATTTCTTAAGATCCTTCTTTTCAGTGTCTCATGAAATACTACGACATCCCTGAAAGCCTCCGCGAGGACGTGTGGAGGAAGGCTAAGGATGCGCTCAATAGCCGCGTGCGACGTCTCCGGAAGGCTATCAGGGACGGACAAATCAGCACGCAGAATGTTGATCGAGAGAACGAGTTTTCGCGTTTGGACTTGTATGATTGAGTACCCTGCTAAGTAATAACAACATAATAATAATAATAATAATAATAATAATAATAATAATAATAATAATAATAATAATAATAATAATAATTAATGATAATAATTATAATATTTAAATAATTGTTTATAAGTCCTAATAGCAATGACATAACTAATATAGTAACAACAATAATAATATTCGATTATAGTAGTATATTTGAAGTATTTAATAGTCATATGTACATTGTAAAAATTGTGCTGTATATAAATTCTTACAGCTGTATGTGTATTACCACACACGAACGTGATGAGAAACAGGTCAATTGACCTAAAGCATGCTGCCCTTATTTGTTCAAAAATTCAAAGGAAAAAAAACGCCAGGTCCGGCGATTTTTTCTTTCGTTTTTGCCTTTATAACGCCGTTTCTGTGAACTTCTCTTATATAGAAACTTACGCTGTTAGACTGACCTCAACGAATTCCATAAGACAGTTTCCTAACAAATTGAAAAAGTGGAATTCTGAACTCCGCTTTCCAAGTAGTCCATCGACAGCTACCTGAGGGCAATTCGTTGTCGCGAATGAGTTCACGCCTATAATATGTAATCTTGAGGGCCGTCGTTTGCCAAGTCATCCTTCAGAGATGAGTGGCGCACATACGGCGCATTATAAAAAAAAATAATGGGATTGTGAATAAGGTAGTTGTATTTTTCAAGGGAAGTTGATCATTACGGTGTAATTTTTTCCGAAAATATAGAGGTTCCACTCGGCATCGCTTTCGAACGATATCGCTTTATCGTTTGAAATCTCGCGCAGTGGTTCAGTTAGGACCACATTAGTACAACGGGCCTAATGTTTGGAGCCGTGTTTTCCCCAACATTCGCAAAATTCAAGGATAAAGTCGAAGAAGGAGGATTTCTTAGCTACATGAATTGAGCACTTCGTGCGATACTAGGCAAGTACGCGATTTTGAGCGTTTTGAAACAGGATTTTCAGCGTTCTGAGTGGCCCCATAAGTTCCATAAAAAAACCTACGTACAGAACGTCTTGTGCTGTCCAACAGTTTGGTGGAAAGCAGTTGCATATTTCAGACTGGTTGTTGTTGTCGGCTGCCAATTTCAAGACTTCTTTCAGAGCCAAGTTCACGTGTTTTTCATAATAAGAAAATCCCAGTCAAAGTCACACCATTCGAATCCTCGTGAAAAATGCTACCTGTCCATATGAAAATCACCTCATGGAGCTTTCTATGACCTTTCGCAGTTTTCCCCGGCTTTCTTTCTTCTATCAGCGGTCAATCGACCTCCTAAGTAGTTATCCCACCGAGGTGTCAGGGCATAGTATTGATCAGTCCTACTAATGTCAAACCATTGTGGTCGGAATAGTTACGTAGTTACCCTGTTTCTCTCGAAAGCTAGACTGTCAAGAAGCAATGAACTCGATATGATCTTTTTAAACCTAAATTTTCATCTGAACTTTCACATGAAACCCTATCATTGGTGATACCAAAATGATCACGGAATCATGCTGTTTTCAAATATGTCGGTAATTCTGACTTTGAAACACTTTGATCCAAGATCATGGTCCAAGTGGAGGGTTTACGACATGGCCATATCCGCAGGTAACACCTTAGGTGACTGGAGACTCAATCGTGGTTTTCCCTTAGAATCAGTTAGAAATATTAGGAAAATTAGAAGATTTGTACACAGTTAGATTCGCAATGAGCACGGCTATCGACTGGTCTAATTTTCAGATCATTTCAACCACTTCTACGGAAGTTATGGCAATGCGACGGTTTGCGACGGATTAATCCGTCGCAAACCGTCGATTTTGCAAAAATTAGGGGCGGTATTGTACTTAGCAAGTTCCAATCAGGGCCTCGCTCATCG